AAACTGCCGTTCCCAGGCAGAGTGCCTTTTTGGGGGCAGATTCCAGGCCAGTCGCCGAGCCCTGGGTTCCAAGCTCCCGGCAGCTGGGTTTTGCTGCCACGAGATAAAACCTTTTTTTTTTCCAAAAATTAAGGAAGCGCGTGAAAGGGAGGCACCCTCAAGATAACCAGGTGCTGGAGAGACCTGATGAAGAAGGGGATCAGATTGCGCCCCTGAAGTCTCAGCCCCTGCCTGTCATCTGCAAAAGGAGGAGGAGGAGGAGGAGGAGGAGGCACAGATATTCCGGAACCCCCACCCCCACCTCCACCCCCCTTGTCTCCTTAAATAACTCATCTAGGTAGTCGCCCTCCTGGAAAAGGCCGCCTTCTTTTTTTGGCCCCAGGCTTTCTCACGAGGCTGGGGCTCCAGCTTGGCTGGAGAGAGAGAGAGAGAGAGAGAGAGATGCTAATGGCTTTCCTTCTTTCCTGACAAACCTGCACACACGGCTCTTTTTTTTTCCCATAATGGCCTCACTGCTTGCCTCCGTGCCCAGAAAGAAGCAAGCTTTTCGGGCTTCTGCAACCATGTTTAGGGGGTCTTTGCCACCCCCGCCCCAGCACAGTCCCCGTATGGGCTTTCTGGAGGAGCGACTCGATGTTGGACATTTGTGCCCGTTTCTGGAGTACGCATCCCTGCTGGACAGCCCTACGCTCCCTAGGAAGCCACCGCTCTCTGCTAGCAGATGATGGCGGCTCCTCTGAGAGTGGGAGGCCTAAAGGAGCCGCCGCCACCGCCGCCTCCGCCTCTGGGCCCAAAGGGCGGACTCCTTGGGTTGTCTCTTCTCCTCTTGCACCCTTTGGCGCCCTCCGGCCATTCCCACGCTGGCTGGCACCGTGTGACTGAGAACACCGCTGAGAAAGCCCCCCCCCACACACACATACTGGATGTGCAGGCAGAAAGGAAGGCCCGAGCTGGCCACACACGGCCTAACTCCTCGGTGGGCCTCGCTCAGCCTTGCCGCCACTGGAGGTGAGACGTGCAAAGAGTAGGGGGCCAGGTGGATCCCAGGGGGACATGGCTGGAGGAAGGAGTCAGGCTCCCCTTGTGCCCCACACACCACCTAAGCTCACCGGTGGCCATGGGATGCTGTGGACCCCAGCAGGTGGTGCCTGAGGGGCGGACATTCATTTGCTGCTCTGCATGGCATCCTGGGCAGGTGGGCAGTGGAGAGACCCCCCTGCCTGCTGGACGTCTGGCACAACCAGTTTCCTTCACAGGCATCATCTTTCAGCACCACCTTTCCTGTCCTGTGCTCAGCCAGCTCCCTGTTTGAACAGCCTTCCCGGGGGGGGGGTGGACTGGGTGAAAGGCAGACCCCCCCGGAGAAAGGCCGACCTGATCCCAGGTTTATCACGCAGGCTCTGCCAGGTGGGGCTGGGACACAAGGCACTCCTCACCACCCAGTTCCAGGCAGCTTTCCACAGCGCCTCGTTTAAACAAATTAACCCACCCAGGTGCAAATCAGCTCGAGGAAGGATTTGCATGTTTGGGCCCTGAGCTCCAGCTGAAGGCAAATGTCCAGCCGCCCCCCCCCCCTTTCCCTTCCCTTCCTTTCCCAGGATAAACCACCAGGTTGCCTGAGAGGCAGAAAAGGGGAGCCATGGCACTCCATCGGCCCTCTACGGAATAAAATTCCTGTCTCCCCTTCCCTTTCGGCCACACCGGCTCACTGTTGGCTGCGGGTGGCCTGGGGGGGGAGGGACCTCTGTGACCTTGAAAGCTTGTCTACCTTTTTTTAGGGCTTTGAGGGTCACCTAAAAACGAGCAGCAATCCTGGAATTTGTTTCAGGGCCGATGGCCACCTCTGCTCTTGCTCACGTGAGTGTGTGTGTGTGAGAGAGAGGGGGGGAACTGTGATTGCCTAGTGCTGAAAGGCTTGACACTCTGCATATGCTCAGAAACATTCTTTTCCAGGGATGACCTCTCATACTCAGTCATGTCTTCTGGCATTTCTGTCACGTTCCTGAGCCAGCAGGCATTGATGTAGATCTTAGCAAACCCCATTTTCTACCCCAAAAGTCCACTTCATAGCCATCCTGATCCCCCTTCAGTCCCTTGAAAGGCCATCTAGGTTTACCGTCTCAAGCCTCTCTCTCTCCCTCAGACCACACACAACACACGCATGCCCTCCAAGAGTGCTGGGGGGGAAACGTCCCGCTGGAAGCCACCCAAGCAATGCCAGAGCAGGGGTGCCCGGCTGCCCTAGGGGGAAGGAGGGTCCCCGTCCCGCCTGGGCCTTCCCCTGGGGGGCCGGCCGCTCACCTGTACAAACTGTTGGGGGAAGAGCCCGATCCTGCCGTCCACCTCGCCCCGCAGCCAGCCCTCCTCTGGGCCCGGCTGCACTTGGCGGATGATGTCGCCTGCGGAGATCTTCAGCTCGTCTGACAGCTGCCCCTCAAAGTCCACCAGGACCAGGACCTCTGGGGAGCAAAGGGACAGCCGCCAGCTTGAGCCTCTCGCCCCCATCCCCAAACAAGCATCATCTGCCTCAGACCTTTGGCTCCTTCCCGAGAGACCCCCCCCCACTGCCCTGTAGCCCCATATTAGCCTCCCAGAAGCAAACAGCAGGGTTGAAGCCCCCCCCACCTGCAATCAAAAGTTTCTGACTCCCCCTCAATTGGCAGGAACCATACACGCCCAGATTCTTCCTTCCAAGGCACAAATGCAAGAGAAGGAGACGTGTCCAACCTTACAGGGCTGGCTGCAATGCCTGGATTCTACCCAGGACGATCCCAAGGCCATGGGCTTTCTAGAACCAGGGGCTAAGAGGGCTGCCTCCCAAGACGAGGAGTTGGGCAAAGCTTCCCCCGTCCCGCCCACCTTCCCAGGTATTTCCAAAACGGAATACCGATGGTTCTAGGACAGCCAAGAGCCAAGCAAGGGAGACCCAGGGTCTTGCAGGAATGGGAGGGTGGGTCGGTGGGTTAATCAAGGTGGAGAGCAAATCCCGGTCCCCTTGGAGTCTTGGGGTAGCTCACGATGCAATCATCAAAGCTGGCTGTGGTTCTCTCTCTCCTGTAATTCCTCTTTCCTGAATTACCCAAGAACAGTGGTAATGACTAATGTTACTCAGTCCAGTTGCCCCAGGCAGGTAAGATGCTCAAGGAGCAGGCCACTGTGGCTACACACACACACACCCCGTGCGACTTTCTCTGGCCAAGGGAAGCTTTGAATCCAGGACACCTCATGGGCTCTCATGAGGTACTGTAGACAAATGGTCATATTAGATACCTATACAATACACTCTTTTTGGGTGAGTCTCTTTCTCTGAATCATGCCTATTTTACAAAGAGAATGACCTCCTTCGCTCTTTGTCCACCAAAAGGGGGGGGACCAAACTCGTCCCAGATGACTCAGCAGCCACTTCAAAAGCCTCTCCTGCTTCATGGCAGGCCTTTGTGCTGGATCCGGACTAACCACCTATTCCAAACGGGATGGCCTGGGTTCCGACCGATTTGCAAGAGGCCGGGGATAAGACCAGAAGGGTCCAGATTTGACTCTGAACTGGATTTATACCCCCATTTGGATCCAGGCCACCATTTGAATCAGAGGCTGCTCAAATCGCTCCAGGTGCAATTGGGACCCCTTCTCTCACATTACTGTTGCCCAACAGGTTTCTCAAAAAGCAAACTTTAAAGGTGCCTTATATGGAAACCGTGGATGCTGGGTGGCTGAAAACTTACACCCCCCTCTTTGGGGTCAATTAGGACTTCAAATCCTGTGGACGTCATTGCAAAAATTGAAAAGCTAGAGCTATGCTAATTGTCTCACACACTCACTTCACACCTTTGGAGATTGATTCGGATCTGGAGCAGAAAATGAATCAGCAGGAGCAGAAGTCACTCCGGATTAAAATCACAAGGGATTCTGAAGCACCAGATTGGCCTGTGAACCAAACCAGGGCACCCCGGCAGAGCCCTGGACTCCAGCCTTCTCCCACATATGTCGGTTAGGTCTGCAATAGTCCTGCGAGGTCCCGACTATCAGCCCACTTCCTAGATGGGCAAGAGATCGGGGTTTGCCTGAGAAGGCTTGCCACAGAGGGAAGATTAGAACTCAGGGCTTTCAAGCTTGCTCCCTTAACCGCTCTGCTACACTGAGTGACATAACGGGGAAACGGGTTGATGTGTATCCGTGGCCGCCAAGCGCATGCTGGAATTGGCACCTCGATGCTAACCCATGCCACAGATCTGCCATGCACGCAATGTAACCTATGCAATTGTGGAATCATTCCAGCAGCGCGCACACCCTCCTCCCAGGTGCTCAGAAGGATCAGGTCCCCCCACATTACGTACCCATGGTTTCTCCGTTCCCAGACCCTCGCTGCCTCCTTCGATCCAGCCAGAACGTCCGGCTTTCCTGGACAGAGTCCGCGACGGCAGCCGAGCACTCCCTTTATGAAGCATGGAGGACGGGCTCGTCAGGACAAGCCTGGTGCGTACGCAGGAGAGGGACGGGCCCAGACTAGGCAAACAGGCAAGGCAGGTTCCCAAGAGGGCCCAGGAAAGAGCCGAGAGAGCAGGGAGGCCGGGGCCGGGGCGGGACAGGCGAGGGCGGGCTTGCTGGCTCATTCCAGGCAGGATGACATGGACCCACTCAAGCAAAAAGGAACACATCAAACTGTGGGGGGAGGGGGGGAAGAAGTGTCTCAATTACACAGACGAAACGCACAAGACAAGCAAGGGAGCCGAGTGCAGTGAAAAGGCAACGAGAAGCAAGCTGGTGTCCTGAAAAGCGACTCACCCCTTTTCTAAACCAGGAACCTTGCAAAAGAACGGCCCCGGTAACTAGAAATGATGTTTCTCTGTAGCCGATCAGTGGGGCTCCAGCGACATCTCAGAGACTCGCCTGTTTAATTTGGCATTGGCTTTGGCAGATAGCAATGGCCCACATCTTCAGAGGCACAGGAAGAAGCAGGGTAGTGTTTGCCTGATCCTACTCCAAATAAATCTCGTTCGCTAGGTTTGAAAGTGCAATAAAACGCTTGCTTGTTTGTCCCAGTGAATTAAAATCAGAGGCCGTCTATTGTGAACCTTTGCTTTTCACTCTCGTCCCTACAGAGGTTGCTCAGGGAGTCAAGTGACGGGGGCGGGGGGGGGGGTTAGTAGCGATGCTCCACCCAGACCTGTCATTCTGCCCCTGCTCAAGTTAGAGATCTGCTCAGCTGTGCTTCAGGAAGGGCGAGAGGACCTACGTTTGGCTAAAAGACCGGTGTCCCTTCCTAGGAAGCCTGGTCATGGAGGATCCATCCTGCCCTCTCCTGCCCTACCTCTAAGCTCATATTCTTGCATCTGGATCAGACTCAGCGCTTGGGGACACCAAGTCCTCCCCCCGTCCCTCAGCCAGCATCACCTTTTGTTGGCCTAAGCTCTTCAGAGCAGAGGTCTTCCCTCCGTGTAACAGGACCTGACACCTCCCAGATTTATAACTGCTCTTCCTGCCTGGAAAGACAAGGTCATGCCGGTGCCACAGCGTTCAAACTTGGCTTGACCCCAGGCGAGCAAAATCATCGGCTTGTTCTCCATCAGCTGGCAAAAGCATAAAAATGTCTCTACCTTCCGAAGAGCCAAGGGCCAAAGCAAGCTGCAAGCAGGTGGCTTTGGGAGCAGCAAACCTGGATTCTGCACAGAAAGAGATGGGTGACACTTCTTGATCTCGGACAGGTGCTCAGAAGGATCAGGTCCCCCCACATTACGTACCCATGGTTTCTCCGTTCCCAGACCCTCGCTGCCTCCTTCGATCCAGCCAGAACGTCCGGCTTTCCTGGACAGAGTCCGCGACGGCAGCCGAGCACTCCCTTTATGAAGCATGGAGGACGGGCTCGTCAGGACAAGCCTGGTGCGTACGCAGGAGAGGGACGGGCCCAGACTAGGCAAACAGGCAAGGCAGGTTCCCAAGAGGGCCCAGGAAAGAGAGAAGAGAGCAGGGAGGCCGGGGCCGGGGCGGGACAGGCGAGGGCGGGCTTGCTGGCTCATTCCAGGCAGGATAACATGGACCCACTCAAGCAAAAAAGGAACACGTCAAACCAGGCGGGGGGAGGGGGAGAGAGAAGTGTCTCAATTACACAGACGAAACGCACAAGACAAGCAAGGGAGCCGAGTGCAGTGAAAAGGCAACGAGAAGCAAGCTGGTGTCCTGAAAAGCGACTCACCCCTTTTCTAAACCAGGAACCTTGCAAAAGAACGGCCCCGGTAACTAGAAATGATGTTTCTCTGTAGCAGATCAGTGGGGCTCCAGCGGCATCTCAGAGACTCGCCTGTTTAATTTGGCATTGGCTTTGGCAGATAGCAATGGCCCACGTCTTCAGAGGCACAGGAAGAAGCAGGGTAGTGTTTGCCTGATCCTACTCCAAATAAATCTCGTTCGCTAGGTTTGAAAGTGCAATAAAACGCTTGCTTGTTTGTCCCAGTGAATTAAAATCAGAGGCCGTCTATTGTGAACCTTTGCTTTTCACTCTCGTCCCTACAGAGGTTGCTCAGGGAGTCAAGTGACGGGGGCGGGGGGGGGGGTTAGTAGCGATGCTCCACCCAGACCTGTCATTCTGCCCCTGCTCAAGTTAGAGATCTGCTCAGCTGTGCTTCAGGAAGGGCGAGAGGACCTACGTTTGGCTAAAAGACCGGTGTCCCTTCCTAGGAAGGGGGCTCATGGAGGATCCATCCTGCCCTCTCCTGCCCTACCTCTAAGCTCATATTCTTGCATCTGGATCAGACTCAGCGCTTGGGGACACCAAGTCCTCCCCCCGTCCCTCAGCCAGCATCACCTTTTGTTGGCCTAAGCTCTTCAGAGCAGAGGTCTTCCCTCCGTGTAACAGGACCTGACACCTCCCAGATTTATAACTGCTCTTCCTGCCTGGAAAGACAAGGTCATGCCGGTGCCACAGCGTTCAAACTTGGCCTGACCCCAGGCGAGCAAAATCATCGGCTTCTTCTCCATCAGCTGGCAAAAGCATAAAAATGTCTCTACCTTCCGAAGAGCCAAGGGCCAAAGCAAGCTGCAAGCAGGTGGCTTTGGGAGCAGCAAACCTGGATTCTGCACAGAAAGAGATGGGTGACACTTCTTGATCTCGGACCAGGAGGGGTGTTGTTCCAAGGCTTCCCCCGAGGAACGGAGCTGCAAGCACACCCCTCCCAGAACTACATCCATGCCACAAACAGCCCGCCTCGCTTCCTGTTCTCAGCCACTGGAATGCCCAAGCAGGCACGTCCGTTCCTTTTTCCTTGAGAGCTTCACCTCCGGAAAGCCTGATTCTACAGTATAGGATGCCCGTCCCGGAGACCTGACTGGACATCCCAGTTGCATCTCCACAAGTCAGAGAGGGCAAAGGGTGATCCTCCTGATATTGCAGGACTATAAAGATTGATTGATTGATTGATTTCCTGACTGATTTCCTTCCTACCTACTTGGACAGAAAGCACAGAAGTACCCACTGGGTTTTGGCCTCCGTTGCATTCCTGTAATGGTGGAAGCAGGCATGATTTCTGTGGAACTGGGATGTACCAAATCACATGCTGACTTGCATATTATTGTTATACTAGTGCTGTGTGATACAAAGTTAAAAGCTATAACCATCAAATACAAAAACTGTTCGCAGAATTGGTAAGAAGAGCTGGGCACAATATTCGTTTCAACGTAACTTTATTTGAAGGAATCAAAACAAAAACTTGTTAAACAAGATCTGCACCAGTCCCACAAAACGAAGTCTATTTATAGCATGAAAAGGGGGGGGGGGAAAGAGAGAGAAAGGAAAGATAGGGGAGACACCGTCCAGTCATAATTCTCTGGGTCTGGGCTCTCCATATAGCACTTCTATTCCCCACTAGCTGGCTTGGGAGCGAAAACAACACCAGGGGCACCCCTTGAGGACTACAGGTTTAAAGCTGAAGAATCACAAAACCAATGGTCAGCAACTCCGTTCTGGCCATCACAGAAGTGAGCCAAAAATTGCTTTATAAAAAGGTTAATAAAAATACAGGAAAATTTCCTCATTTTTCATGCTACAGGCTTTTTTTTTTTAATCCTAGTATATTCAGAAGTTTTTTAGAAAACTATGTGACCCTGAAAATAGTGTTCAGACTCACTGCTTGAGGGGGGGGGGGTAAAGAGTGTGCAAGTAACTTAGAGTGAATGGACCAAAAGGCTGAACCTCTTTGGGCAGGCTGAGGGAGCACGGAAGAAAGGAGGAGGAGAAAGGCTGAGTTTCCAACTGTGCCATGCTAACTTTGGAACTCCAACGCAAAAATAAAAGAAGGTTGATTCCTGTAAAAGAAATTACTCCAAATTCAGGTGTGTGGGGGGGGGGAGGAGAGGGACAGTTCCTTTACATTAAGAACAACAAAGAGTTTGGTCCCAACAGGTCCTACCCAGGTGTTTATTCACATGCATTTTCTGGTACATATAAGAACCACAAAGGCCTTTTCCAAAATAAACATTTTCAGGGGAGGGGGGCACTGTTTATATATCTGCAGCTTAAAATAAAGATTTTTAAAAACATCTATAAACAGGAAATGGAGAGGGAAGAAAACAGTGAGGAATTCATTCCCCATCATCACATTAATTAAAAAACAAAAATAAATGAGGACAGAAATGATTGCCAAGAAGAGTATTGGGCAGAATTCACTCCACAGTCTTCCAGGAGTCCGTGAGAAACCAAAACCAAGGGGGCCACATTCAACTAGTCAATTCGGATCGAGGACCACCCGGGCGGACGTGGGCCTTCCCCTCCAGAGCCTCCTGTTGGGCCCGAGACCATTATTCTGCCACTGACTGAAGGGCCTCCTTGTCTTCCCGGTTCTCGCCCCCGCTCTCGTCGTCCTCAATCTCGCCCTCCTCTCCGCTGAACTTGTCATGGGCCCATTTGGGGCTGGTGCTCGACTTCCGGTACAGGAAACGGCCTCGGCCCCGGGGAAAGACGCCCCGGCCCCGGCCCCGGCCAGCCCATTTCTCCCCACCTTCGCCCTCGCGGTCATCATGCTGGAAAGAAAAAAAGAGCGAGAGCTGTGTTGGACAATCGGGGCGACCCAGCACTCAGCAGAAGCCCCTCCCCCTCCAGGGGCACCCCGTCACCAGCCCCTCCGCAGGGATGGCCGCCACGCTCCCCGGCGGGGAGGGAGAACAGCAGAATCATCCTGAACGGAAGAAGCTCAAAGCAGCCCTCCAGAGAGGCTGCTTGGCTGAAGGGCGAAGGAGCCCCCGTTTCTGGCTGAAAACTGTCAAGCAGACCTATGACGTCCTATGACAGAGGTGTCCCTCCCCTCGCATCCAAGCACCCTCCCCTCGGCACAGGCACATACCAAGTAGTACTTCTTGCTCTTGGGTGTGTATTCGGGGTCCCAATCCTCTTCCCGGCTTCGCTTCTGGAAGTCAGCAGTGGTGCCACCACCGCTGACGCCTCCACCGCTGACGCCTCCGACGCCGACGCCGACACCGCCACCGCTGCTGTTGTTATTGTTGCTGTTTCCAGAAAAGGCCCCTCTTCCCCAGCCACGGCCCCTGGCGCGGAACTGCTGCTACCATTGGGAGAAAGGGGAGGAAAGCAAAGTTCAGGCCCTTGGTGACCCTTGTGCAGCAACAGGCCGGCTTCACTTGCTGTCGTCTCCAGCCCAAGGTGCGGATATTGCTCTCAAACCGTTATCGGCTTGATGGGTGGGAGAGGCCTGTTCTAGCCAAGCTAGGCTTCTTCTCAGCAGCCACCTAGAGAGTCTGAACATCTTTCCCAATCACTGCCTGCAAGGATCTATCTCCTTTGGTTACTTTTATTGTTGTGAGTCACCTTGGGTCTCCAATGGGAAGAAAGGTGGCAAATAAGTAATTAAATACCTAAATAAACATAGTAGGACACCCATATCTATGGGATCAGTAGCCATGGTTTCACTTCTCTGAAACTATTAAAAATATGAAAAGTATTCACCCCCAGAAATACACATTTCCACAATGTAGTTACAAGAACTTGTCACTAGAGTGAGCTAGAGACCATGCTATCGAAAGAATCCACTATTATCTGTATTTTTTTGCAGCAATGTGTGCGTGGAGGTGTGGAACAGGGGTCTACAGGGGTCCTACAGCACACACAATACAGAGTTTGGTGATGAAAGGGTTTTATTTTAAGTCAGTTGTCAACCAAACCAAGTTTTTTCTGACTGCTTTTGTACATGTTTTACTAGAGTCTGTCTACAGGTTTTGATTGAGGCAAAATGCACAGAGACGCAAGGCTTAGCCTTTACGATGTTTCTCAAGTTCCACCCATTTTAAACTACTTTAACTCCTCTGCAAACTGAACTGCTCCTCCCTGAGAAACACACACTTGTTTAAAAAGCAACTTACGAAGGTCCCTCGGGCTCTGCCCCTTTCAGTTGGGCCAGCAAACTCCTTGGTGCCAAGGCGGGATTTGTCAAACCCAGAGGCGGCCGACTCCTCCCGCTCTTCCATCTCCTCTGGGTATTCCTCAGCTTTATAAGAGTGCGAAGACTGTGAGGACGAAGAACTTGAACGGGATCGCTCTCGCACACGCCTGTGCTTCCTGAACCACGGAAAAGAGACAGTCAGAAGCAGCCTGCCTTCAGTTTATGACCATCCTCCCTAGGTAAGCTGACATCTGCAAGGAGACCCCCACGACCACATAGGACTGGCCAATTTGTGCCACTGCTCTGTTGGGCTCTCTTGAGACAGAACTTTAATTAGAAGACTAAGTGAAAACAGAAAAATCAATCTGTGAACAAAAAGAGAGAGAAGACTGTCACAGCCATCCAAAAACTTCCTTGTCCAAAAAAAACTATTTGGTAAAAAGCTCATGTTATGTATTCTCGAAGGCTGAAAAAAACCCGGAAGAATTTCTAAACCATCTCAATAGCATCCACCCAAATATACAATTCACCATGGAAAAAGAAATTGAGGGCCAACTCCCTTTCTTAGATGTCATGGTCGTACGCAAACCTGACATCCTATTGGGACACAAGGTCTACAGAAAACCCAACCAGACAGACCAGTAGCTGAACATGCCCTGAAACAAGCTGGACATTAAATCCTATTTCAAAACACAGAAGTACTGGACAACACCAGCGATCTATTAGACTACACAGGGAAGCCACAAAAAAGTCTAAAATTTAACGAAGTCTGGCTCCCAGCACTGAAAAATACAGCCTGCAAAAAGGTCAACAAACTCTACCCAGCCACAAGAACTGGTGATCACTGCACACAAAATACCAGCTAACGACATCCATCAATCACAGTGACAGATCATCTCCCCCCTTATCACAACAATACACCTGTAACAAAAAACACCCTGATCACCATAATCACCCAATCTCCTGAAAGGGACAAAAAGCTGATCCCACAGCTACAAATACGCAGCTATCCCACACACTACGTGCCTGTCCTCTCAAGATGCCCGCCACAGAGACTGGCAAAACATTAGGAAGAAAAACCTCCAGAACACAGCCCGAAAAATCTACAACAACCAGTTCATGTTATGTTACCTGTATCCCAAAGGCAATCTCAAAAATGTTTAAAAACACATGCCAAAAAAAACACAGTAAATTGCAATATGTTTTTAAAAACCAGAAATAAATGTGTTATTGTAGCAAAAAAAAACACACACACAAAAAAAACCCTCCACTGGATTAAAGAAATTAAAATCATTTTAATTTCGTTCAAACCAATTCACAAGGATCCTTTGGAAACTGATAATGGGGTCAGACTGGCCAGCCATTGCCCCCAAAGGCCCCTCCCTCGCCCATGAGGAACGCAGTCTCTCAGAAGCACCACCACTTACGCGAGTTAGCAGCTGGGTTCCACCAGTCCGTCCAGCAAGGGACAGCTTCCAAAGAGCTCTATGCTACGCAGGGCTGTGCGTGGGTTTCTAATGCTGGTGTTTCTGGCAAACGCAATGGGCTCATAAACGCAGGCAGTGTGGAGGAACAAATAAATGGGTCCCAAGGCTAAGGGAGGCTTGGTCTGATTTGACCTCCCCTCTACAGCCCCTGGCTGTGTGGAGCCAAGAGGAAGCCCTTCCATGTGTGAATGCTCTTGTGATTTGCTACACCCTGGCCCTTGCCATTTCTGGGGAAGGGCCACTGACCAGCCGCTTCTGTGCAAGGGTTCACAATTTCGGCTTGCTGCGAGGGACTTCTGGCAACAACTAGCAAGGGCCCGACCCCTAAAATGGAAAAAAAGAAGAAGAAGAAGAAGAGGAAGAAACGAACGAGGCATGCCTCCTCTCACACGTACTTCTTTTTGGACCCTTTGTGCGACCTCTCTGTTTTCTCCGTTGATCTCTCCCGCGAGTGACTGGAGTGACGGGATTCCACTGATTCCCTTGACTTGCCTCGCTTATCCTTCTCCTTATGTTTTTTACGCCGCTCAATGTCAAGGCGGAGGTCAACCGGGTCATCCTTATATTTGCTTTCAGCCTGGAAGGAGAGGAAACGGGGAAAGGCTTTATACCTGGGTTCTCAACAATAGTCCCCTTCATAACAACAGTCCGTTAGCCTTGCCACAGGACTGAAAAGTACTCAGCATAACGCCTGATTGGGGGGGGCGCTTTGGCCCACACTGTGCGTCACAGGAAAGAGGCCAGTCTTCCTGCAACTACTTCCCTCTATGCCAAACCTAAATTATTATGAAACAAATCACGGGAGGAACCTGGTGCTAAAGCTAAGGGGGTCCCAAAGTGCTCAAAAAGTTGTGGTGTTGTTTTAAAGGAGTGCTAGATCTTGAAGGGATACAATCTGTAAATAAGGCCAAGACCAGAACACAGGTTCACCCTCCTGCAAAACTGACCAACGGCAGGATTTCTCCCCACCCGACCAACCAACCCAGAGGAGCCAGCTGTAGCCACGGAAAGAGAAGAAGCACAAGCACAGAGGCCTGCTCCAACTTCAACTCACAGGGCCAACAGAAGGCAAAACACCACCCGGTCAGTCCAGACAGGGCCTCTACAGCTTCCGTGCCCTTCGCCACAATTCACTGGCAGCTTACAGGCAGACTACATGGATCCAGTCTGGTTCTTCCGATCCATACTTCCTAAGACTAGGCTATTATGGGTTCAGCACCAACACTGCTGCGCTGGCAGCTGCCGTAAATTCTAGCGATCCCTGGAGGTCATTTTAGAGAATGAGATTTCAAGGAAGAATATGGAAGAAGGCATGATACAGTCCCACAATTCACTGGCAGCTTACAGGCAGACTACATGGATCCAGTCTGGTTCTTCCGATCCATACTTCCTAAGACTAGGCTATTATGGGTTCAGCACCAACACTGCTGCGCTGGCAGCTGCCGTAAATTCTAGCGATCCCTGGAGGTCATTTTAGAGAATGAGATTTCAAGGAAGAATATGGAAGAAGGCATGATACAGTCCCACACTTTCTTGCACCCTCCCTATTATTATTATTATTATTAT